ACCCTATATCCTTACTTGTGAAACAGATACATGAATTGGGTAAAATATTGAAGGAAAACACTTCAGCAATAACAGGAGCCATTACTGAACTCAAATTCCAATCGCAAGAATCCGAAAACCGGCTAACTAACATCATTCAGGTTTTTGTTTACTTGAGATAATTATGGGCAAAACAATTAGTAGACTGCTATGTGCATGTACGTGTACATATAGGCATTTAGTCATCATTTTATCATGCAACTACCAACACTTTCGAAAAAAAATAGTCACATGTAGTTCCTCTAGGTGTTTAAATAAATAGGAGTAAAGCTAATTAAGCAATATGATATTGCATGACTGCAACAAAAAGGTGGGGGTGGGGTGTTTTTTTTATTTTATTTTATTTTTGCTATTAGAGCATTTGTGGGCCATGATCTCAACAAAAACAGGTGGAAGCCGTGAACAGCAGGTCTGTGAGCTCGTACTTCTGTGAAATTCGGATGAAATTAGGCCCTAAGACTGCTTTATTTTGCAATGGAGCGCAGGCATCAATGGACTTCTTTTAGGGGTGATCATCTTTGCATGTAATTTTCTCTCAAAAGTCATCGGATTATTATGAAATAATTTTTAATTTGATAAGTGTTTCAATACCTTGCAGAGTTGTGAGTATTTTAGGTAATTTTGGGAATTGCGCAAAGTTATCCCGAAGGTCTATGCAGGGGCGTAGCAAGGTCTTTTTTTTGGGGGGGGGGGTTAAAGTTCTTGAAAAGGGCACTTGCACATCCATGCTTAAATGTAGACATGTTTTTCTTCCCCGGACACTTGGCCTCCATAAAAACAAATAGTGAGGGGGGGGGGGGGGGCTGGTACCATCTGTCGATTGGGGTGCTGTTCAAAACCGACGAGTATGCACACTATAACGGACAATATATGGTGCTTTTCAGGGCGATACATCCGCGAAATAAAAAGCACCTGTAACGGCCAATGCCTTGACACAAAAAAGGCACGAAGTTGTTTTTTAAAAGGCCATTGTTCAGAAAAAGGGTACTTAATTGTTAACAAAAGAAGGGCACTCTAGATTGGCAAATATTGTGGGTAAGCACTGGTGAAAAAACGGCATTTGAACGGAAAAGGGCAGTCTTTACACAATATTGGGGGACTATGTTATGAAAGTCGATTTAGCTGCAGCTCGATATATTCATAATTAGCGCTGCGGTTTATGTACCCTCACCCGGTCCACTGAGGGGAATAGCGATTCGCCGTAGCGGGCGCCCTTTACGCACATCCACTTGCTCCTATCAATCCCGCGCGCGATTTTTTTCCATACCACATGCTCTCTAGTATAATATAGAAATATGCTGGAGGGCCCTATATATGCAATAATATAATGTTTTACAACAACTACATCGATCGAGATCCCTGCTGTAGTGCAGTGGATACTACGTTGAATTACAAATCCTGAGGTGCGAGTTCGAATTCTCAGTGGATTTTTTTCTTCTTCTTCTTCTTCTTTACATCTTTTTTTCTCTTAAAAAGATTTGTTATTCATTTGGAACATTTTTCTTTCACCAATATGTGGTTTGGAGGATTTTTTATACGGGAAAATAAAGTCCGAGAACCTGACTTGCAACTCAACGTACTTCGAACTAACACTTAACAGCGTGTGGTACGGAAAAAATAAGCGCATCCCGCGCTCGACTAGAACTATCTACATAATTCCCCTCAAAATTTCCAATAACTATAATTATGTACATGCTGGTAGGGGTCTAATTCGATTTTTAAAAAAATGTAGTTTAGGACTACGCTTCATATAAGAGAATAAAAAGACACTTTTAAAGGGGTATAATTTAGTATGTTTAGCCGGCACGGCCATCATGGCCATGACGTGGCTTGACTTGAGTAACTCTCTAGGCTAGCCCCATAAATGTGGCAAATTTACTGGACTACCTACGCAAATAAAGGCCGCATTTCGAACATGTAACCGAAAATGTAGAACTTAGTCAAATTTGAATTTTTACGTTATAGACTTTGTTTGTAGTTTATTTACGCCTTAGAAGCACACTCACCTTCTTTAAAGCGATAGAAAAGCAGTCCATCTTTTTCAGACGTTTATATTTTGTGTAATTTCCAGGTTCGTTTGCACGTGTTTGCGTATCTAAATCTAAAAGTAACCTTAAAAAGTTATGGGGTACTTGAAGTCGCTTGCAATTAAGGCACCAGAGGCGAAAAATCAAAGTGCGCCACGTTGGGGGTTGCGCCACATTAGGGTTCATCAACAATTCCAGGATGCTCTCCATACGGCATATATTGCAGTAAAGTTGACATGCGACATACATCCTATTAACCCATAATCGAGGAATACGTATCTTTGAATTCTGGATTTCTGTGATAAATTATCACAGTAACGCGGTATCGAGGAAGGATTTATCTTTGAATTCCGGATTTCTGTGATAAATTATCACGGTAACGCGGTATCGCGGAAGGCAATTCAAGCTTCCGTACTTCTCTGTGATTGTAACTAGATTAAAGTCGATATTCAAATGAACCACAAAGGGAAACTGGCTTGGTGAAATATAACAATTGAAGAGTTTCACAAAGAAAAACCGTTCCGGTGCTCTTACCAACTGTACCGACTGAGCTATCCAGCCAGATGGTGGCGGAACCCCCAACCCCTAACATAGCGCTCAATAGCTAAATTGGTAGAGCACCAGAACGGTAATCAGGAGGTTGCAGGTTCAAACCTCACTCCACTCAATTGCATTGTTAAACTTTGCAATAAATGAATATCACTTAGAACAACGAAAGTATGTTAATCAAGGCAGAACGAATTAAAGGGTCCATGTAATGGCTTTTTCTTAGGAACATACTTTGTGCAACTTTAAAGCCTCATAAATGTGTGAAAGCTATTTGACATCCCTTTTCGGTTAATTTTATTAAACTGTCCACTTCTTTAGACATTTAAAATTGTCCATGCTTTTCCGATCAACTGAGGGCGCTGTTGCTGTGATGTCATTTCAGGAAGACTCTATTCAGCTTATGTGTTTTCTGTTAAAATTGTGAAACCCGAATTTTGCTCATTGAAAACATTTGTGAGAAAAGTTTGCTCATTGGCTTACTGCCATGTAATGACACAACAACGAATCACCAAAGAAAATGAAACTACAACAGCAAAGTATCCAAAATTTTGGCAACGTTTGGTGCAAAAAATAGCTGTATTAAACATTGATTTTCTGCCTGAAATGATATTACAGTTTTGCTCATATATATTGACATTCGTATTAGCATTAAAGACGAAAGGCACCAAGATACCCTTAAAAATGACAAACTGAAAATTTAAATTAGGTTAAATGAGACACAAAGGTGCACTTTCAAGGATTGCATTAAAACAATTGAATAACATGGGCCCTGTACTAAGCCACAAGATTAAGTAGGTTGACATGTTTAAAATCAATGAGCTCTGGTGCCAAGTTGATTGATAATCGCTTGAATACACTACACCTACGGCGTCAGTTGTAAGTCAAGACACATAAGGGTGTCCCTTATGGGTTTTGCTGAATACGCAGTCGACAAACTTTGCTCATGGATGAAGAAAGCACCTGAAGCATGATCACAATTCTTCATTTGTTTACATTCCCTTCACAAGTCATACCCCCAGAACATCACTTGACCCATATTAGACAGGTATTAACTAATTTAAACTCTGTTTCAAATTTGGTTAGAGAACCGAAATTTAACTGGTGAAATGTTGGATAGTTTGTTAGTCAAACTAGCATCATTGTTCTTTTTCATATTCCCCTGCACTTGAGCTCCCAATGTGGATATCAGTGCAGGATTGCAAGCTGTGTAGTTGCTTGGCTGCTTCCATGTTGATGCTCTCCTAATGAAGTCAATGTGGACCTGAAACATCACAGGATGAATCGACGATCTAAAATACAGCTTGTTGGCAGTGCAGATAAAAGGACTGCTAAGGCTGAAGCTACGTGTAGGCCTACATTAACAGAGGATGAAGCAGGTCCTTCTGACAGGCCGTCTACAAGTAGGAGCGAGACTACAAATGTCTTCAAACCAAAACGTTTCATCTCCTTCAACCTTTCTTTTCCGTGTATTCGTTATCCAGGTTAGATCAATGTGTTAAATCTTACCGAGGCTATTGAGAACTTGTCTTTGGCATTAAAGATAACAACACTTGCAAAAATCAAAAAGCAAAACTAGAAAATGATTATGAAATACAAATTGACTGTATGTGAGTAATAGTCCGAAGCCTCATGTGGAATCATGGCACTTGGTGTGCTGTCACTTTTTTTTTAAATACTGTCCCTAATTTACCAAATGTGAAGTTCGTCCACATTTTGATTGTAATCGGTTACACATCAGTGAACTGGTGAAAGCCAGTTAGTCTGGTTCCCTGACCTGACAATCTTGACATTTATAAATTGACCCGTTTCATCTGAAGTAGGGTTAGGGAACCAGACTAAAACAAGAGCATTTTTGTTCCTTTTTTTTCCATCATCCATCAAAACAAATATTTAAACAGGTCAGTGTAACAATATTTGCTGTAAAATATTAACCCCCAAATCCATTCATTTCTGGAAATAAAAAAGCAAACGTTGTATGTAACTACATCAACGCAGTTCTTAAATAATTTCATCGAATGTTAAATGGAGATATAAAACGAAAAGCTTTAATCACACACTTCAACCATTATATCAAAATTGGTCTACGGCTAAACGTTCTAGCTCACGAGGAAAGTTTTTCTTAATCAACTCAAAATAATTAGCTCAAAAAACAGGCTGAAATAACATATTTTTATTGAAGTGATTATTCCAAAACAAAATTACTATGACAGGTCATAAATTTGTGGGGGATCACAACCGGTGTCTTTGGATGACCTGTTCCATCAACATCAGGGTCACTTATTTTACTTATTGCATTCATGGTTTATCAGGCAGACAATTTTCGACAGCCTGACTGTCAACGCATTTTGTACAACGAGTTTGTGGGTTTTTTTTATTTTCAGAACTATGCATACATGACAAAACTCTCTATCAGGTAGCTGAATACCTTAGCACTTCTTGGATAAAATTGGCTATTGAGCTCAACTTTACGTACCCAGATATAAGCACCATTACGAATAAATACACAACAGAGGTCGTCATGCAAGCTTACGAAATGCTTGCAACATGGACGCGAGCCCAACCCATCAATGCTGAACAGCAGGTTCCCAAGTTATGTTCGGCATTAGTTGCAATTGGAAGAGCTGATATTGCAAGATATCTGGATGGTAAATACACGTCTTTGCCTAAACATGTATGTCAGCTGAAGATAAGCTTATTTTATTTGGGAAAAATGATGTTATGTGTATGAAATAAAGTAAATTTCACAAACACGTGTGCAATCAACTGATTACTTTATAAACTTTGAACAGAAAAATAAGCTCCGGATTAATATTAACTGTGCTTGTTTTGGTATATTTTATCATGTATTAGGTATATTACATGGCCGTCAGGCACGCAGTGAATCGAACAAAGTGATTTCACACGGTTAACATAATTAGTCAAATAAATCCATTTTTACAGGGTGAGAAAAAAAAAGAAACCCAAATGAAGGACCAATTTTTGAATGAAGTTTTGCCTGTAGCACTTTCAAAATATTGGATAACTAACCTGCAAAAAACAGCTGACTTTTGCAAAAGATAATTTGATAACAAAGTAAGAGGATGACTCCCTCTTCCTCCGTAGGGGAAGGCTATTAAATCTGTTTCACATATATTTTTTATTGAAGCAATTATGTTGGATGTTTGATCTGAATAGGAGTGCATGCACCCAGACCTGAGGCTCAGCATGAACAGGAAGCAGACGAAGAACCAATGTTGACGGATCCCCACCAAGAGGTCGGTAACAAGTCAAAGACATTTCGAAGGGAGTTCACGAAACAACAGGCAGTTAATACCTACCGTGTAATATATTTGTTCCAATATTTGGGTATATGTTTATATTTCTTTTAAGCATATTTTGGTGATTCAATTTACACATGCTAACTTCAATAACATTTTCTAAAGCATATATGTGACTGAATAATATTAAGACATAGTAACGATCTAAAATGGCTACTATTTTACCCTAAAGTTGCTCGCATTTATCTTGTCTCCAGATATCATCAAGTAGTTTTGCCAAACCTCAGTATTGATGAGCTTCAAATTCACCAAGTTGCTTAGTGGCACAGTTACCCTATTAAAAATTAATGGAAAATCATGTGAACAGTGGTATCATTGTGATATTTAGTCCAGAAAACAAAATGGGGACAAAAATAGGTGTCCGTAAATTGGGCTAAAAGGTAGGTGAAGGGTTGCCTGACGTAAGAGACTTGAACAAGTTCAAGAAAATTAACAAAATTATTGGTAAGAAAACGTTTTGACGTAGACATTATTAGTGTAAACAACAATAATCTCTTATTTTGAGTATTTTCTTGACCTTGTTCCAGTCTCCCACGGTAGGCAATCCTTCACCTACTTTTTAGTCCAATTTACGGACACCTTATTTTCCCCTTTTTTTGATTTTGGGTTTTTCTTTTTCATAGCTAAATATCAAGATGTTCTCATTTTTCACATAATTTCCCATTTATTTTTGTGAGGGTAAGCAGTAAGTAACTTTGTGAATTTGAAGCTCATCAATACTGACGTTTGGCGAGACTACTTGATGATATCTGAGGAAAAGGTAAATGCACGCAACTTTATAGTATGATGGTAGCCATTTTGGATCTTTGTTAGGTCCTCACATCATCCGGTCTCTGGTATGATTTAGAAAATATTATTTAAGTAAGGATATGTAAATAGAATCCCTGAGACATACTTAAAAGAAATAAATCAATCTATACACAAATATTGGAATAAATATATTACACGGCAGGTATTAACGATTAATACCAATTAAACGGTCAAAAACTTTTTTTAAATGCTTGAAAAGTTTTATCGGATTCAGCTTAGTACCTGAATTATGCCGAAAAGCCTTATTCCCAACTATAACCCCCTATAATGCCCCGAAATTCTTATATAGAGCTTTTTTTTTCCAGAAATCCCACTAGGCTATGACCGCACAACGAACAACCGGGTGAAATCAAACATGTTAAATTTGTTTAGGGATGATCGGTTGGTGCCCGATCACCAAACAGTCATGTACAAATTGCAACAGAACCTTGAACCTGATGTTTGAAGAACGTTTGAGCTCCAGTCACCAACCAATACTATGAGGAACACAGAATGGCGGCTGAATGTGCCCCATTATTCTATTCAAAAGATGGAATTTGCGTCGGGGTGATGTAAATTCAATATTATGTTTTGCCCTTCACCGACGAATAGTTTCATTGCGGTACCCGCTGCTACATCAGAATCGAACCAGCCAACGGATCCCGCAAGCTCGGTGGTCGGGTAGAGTCCCATCACCCGAGTGATGTTTCTCACTTTCACTCGGGAGGTAACACACTGAGCATACAGTGTTTACACGTCGGTGAAGGGCAAAACTAATATTATTTTAATGCCCAATTATTGGGGTTTTTATTAAAGCTCCGGATCGCTTCTGTCGTGAGCAGAAAAAAAACAATTTCCCTGCTAAATTGATAGATTAGGTTTGATGACGTTCACCATAGCACCTGACTTTTATCAGAAACTTGGTTTTGCATTACACAAAAAATAAATGAAAAGATAAATATAAAAACAAAACTGTATTAAAAGGTGCCCTTTTTATGGTATCGAATCCGATCTCATCGAAACCTTTACTTTACATACAAACATGGTAACGTGATCAATTGCATTCATTATGTAAATTATAAACATTGGCCTGTCGGGGGAGGGTGCTAGTTAGCTACTCCAGCAACCCCCCCCCCCCCATCACCCTTGTGAAGTGATAAAGAAGTAAAAATAAATTGAGAGTCTGTCCTCGTTAGCGTGGAATTGCCCCAAAACAAAAATAAAAGTTACAAGAATCGTTCCGGCTGGCCTAAAAGGTTTAAGCAGAAGGTACAGTAAATGTTACACATAAATGTTGGCTTCGTTTTCATTACAAATTCAATAGAAGCCTATAGCCTTATTAGTATTATTATTTTTCCATACAGGCACAGGTGCCAGATATTAGAAAGTCCGGCTGAGCGTGGCAGAGCTGGAAAGGGTACAACCGATCAAGGTCACCGGTCTGCCAGATATACCGAGACAATTGCTGAAAATGCGGAAATATTCACAAAGGGATGCGAGTCCACTGGGATACCAACTATTTTGAAGGTTCCATTGGATCAAAAGTCCGTTCCTGCCAGCGTTATGTACCGTAGCTATAGCTTCAGTAAGAGATCTGGTTTGGTTCAGCATCACAAAGTTATAATGTTAGTTGGGGCCACAGGTGGGGGTAAGAGCACACTGATTGATTTCATGATCAACTTTATCCTTAAAGTAGACTGGAAGGACTGGTTTCGTTTCAAGATCATTCCCCAACAAGGAGAGGGACCACAGTCACAGGCTCATAGTCAAACTCAAATCATATCTTCCTACACTATTTATGGAAACCAACACCACAACGTTCCTTACACGTTGACAATCATCGATACGCCAGGCGTTGGAGACACAAGAGGTATTGGGCGTGACAGAGCCATCCTTGATCAGATACGCGATTTCTTCCTTCATTCCGAGGCTCACAACGTAGATCACATAGACGCTATAGGCTTTGTTGCTCAGTCTTCGCTGGCACGCCTCACCCACACACAGCGGTATGTTTTTGATTTCATCCTTTCCGTGTTTGGTAAAGACATCTCCCCAAACATACTTCTCCTGCTCACTTTCTGTGATGGGCAGAAGCCCCGTATTTTCGATGCAATTAAAGAAGCGGATATTCCTTGCAGTGACAGCATGTTTAAGTTCAACAACTCGGCTCTTTTTGCTAGGTACGTAGACAAAAATACGGACGACGAAGACATGTTTGACAGGATGTTTTGGCGAATGGGGATGAAGAACTTCTTCCAAGCTCTCAATAGCTTGGACCCGAGGAGCCTAATTCTCACAAAGGAAGTTCTGGAGGAGCGGAAGCGACTGGAGACGAAATTTAATGGATTTGCAACCCCAAATTAAAAAGGGTGTTCGTACACTGGAAGAGGTACAGCAAGTGCACCAAATACTTGAGCAACGCGAAACAGAAATGCAAACAAACGAGTCGCTCAGTCAAGTCATAAAGAACTTATCAGAAGAATTCCTCATGGTCCAGAAACGTGTTTGTTTTTTGATAATTGACTCTCATCGGATTTTGATGCGTCTAGAAGAGATTGCTTTGAAGCCGAACCCGCTGAGCACCGTGGATTATGTGGACTTGTTGATTGAGTCCGAAAGGTCAGATGCCAAGACAGGTTGGATATCCAGAGTAAAGGCACTCGAAGGTGTCCGCAATCAAGCATATATTTTAGCCAAAGTAAATCAGGAAAGCTATGATCCCTTCAAAAACTACAAGAAGGAATTTCATGGTACGACAGAAAGTAAAAGCTGGTTTAAGTTTTGGAAATAAATTTAGACCCCATCTTTCCGATAACAACTTAACAACTGAATGTAACAACTGAATGTTTCTAATCACTCTAGACAAATTAATAAGTAAGTTGAATCCGATCTACAGGACTTACGTTTTTGCCGAGTGCCAACGTTTCACAGCCTTTCCCAGGGTGTTAATTATATCAATTTCTTCCGTTACCCACTGAAAAAAACTGAAAAAAAAATTGGTCCATTATACCATCTTGCCAGTTCCTAATGTGTCTTTTTTAGGCATCCTTCTCACGCCTCACCACACCCATCCTTGTAACATCGCATCATCGTTGGAATCCCTCATTCTCCTGACGACGGGCAGAGCACACTGTTCGAAACGTTGAGTCCCTCCGGTTCTTTTCAGAACCACACATACTCACAAAAGAGATTTATTTACGTGGTGCTACCGCAAACTTATCTTATCTTAGAACTTCTATTCAAAAAATTTAATTTGCGACAGGAAGGTGTCAACATTGGGTTTTGCCCTTCACCGGGTTATTTAAGGTTATTTTCAGCTCGGTTACGTAGGAGCTGCATTTCCTTAGTCTGTTCATTTGTTTGTACAACACGTTGGCTGCTTGTCCTTGGACTGGGCTAAGATGTCACATGGTTGCTCTGCAGTTTTCGATCAGGGCGTGGGAATGAATATGCGCATTATCTCCAACCAAATGTTTGAAAACGTTATGAAATCACATCTTTTATTAAATTTTGCAAATGTTAACCAGGCAAAGATACAATTGAAAAGAAAGCAGACGGCCATTTCCAGTATATTGCTCATTCGAAGATCAAATTCTATGTATGCTTAAGCTTATATATTTACTTTGCTTCTTGTATATTTAGATCACCTTATGTGTAAAATAGTCTCTATCGAATATCATATTAATGTATTTCTTTAGAATTTCTATATTATTGTAAATAATGACAGCATTGAAATAAATATAGCAGATCATAATCGAAAATCAAATTCTTTGCATGCTTAAGCTTATATATTAACTTTGCTTGTTGTATATTTAGGTCACCTAATGTGTAAAATAGTCTCTATCAAATATCATATTAACAGGCTATACTAGCCTGTCCGTTTTGGAGAAAATATACGCCGATTGCCGACTTATTGTTAGATCTCTACATCGGCGGAGGAACCTGGTAGTCCGGTCAATTTAGAACAAAACAGGCCTGACCTAGAACTAATTGCAATAGAATTTATTGTAATTCTATCATGCTAAGAAAATATCACTTTTTGTCATACTAAAAATCTAATTTCATCAAAGGGTTGGAAAAGTGTTTTTATCCACTTTTTCGCTACTAATTTTTCATCATACGTACAGCCTCCGTTAGGCTACTCGTCAGAAAATCCGTTCACTTCGCGAGACACAACTGATCACAGCAGACGACTTTTTTATGTCCACCTATTATTAAAATATGAGGTAATTTACACTGCCGCACAATACTTTTGGATATTTTCTTGAAAAAAATCAAGAAATTTGAGGGGTTTTTGCCCGAAATATATATTGGTTAAAATAAATCACTTTGTGCCCAATAAACCATTTGTTTCATGAAAAATCTTTGCATAAACAGGTCTACTTGAAACAAGGGCTGGAAATGATATAAACAAAGAGATCCATTTAAATTTAAATTTCAGGTGTCTACGCCAATAGGCCAGAGTCCAATTTTAAATACAAGGGAAAATATCCGAAATCCGAGCTTCGTGTGTTCCTTTTATGATGAATTTAGGTCATTGGAATAACTTTTAAATAAGACGTAAATTGTCAAAACAAATAACCGATTACTCAAAAAACCTTTATGAAGACAAATTAACGGGAATAAAATATTGCAGTGAAATTGTTGCTGAATTCTGGGCTTTAGAGAAAAGACATTTGTGACAAGTGTTTACAAATAATAAACGTGCTCAAGATAAAAGCCTTAGGCCGGGGGTGGGACCGTTCCAATGAGAAGTCTTTTTTAAAGTAATAACAACGCGGTCTATTGGTCACTAGCGGTCATTTGGTGAAAATCAAAGAGCGGCGTGGCTTCTTCTGCCGCATTCTTCAGCCGATTTTTCCCGTATTATGTCGAAAGCTTCCTTGTCCAAGCGCTTTATAGGGTCTTGGCAGATTTGGGTCAAAGATCACTTAGTGGTCAGTAGTGGTCATTTTCAGACAAACGTGACAAATAGCTATTTTCTCACGTTTTTGTAACGATTTAAATCATTTTAATATAGGTTTTCCTAGCTATTTTAACACTTGTATCAAACGAATTCCCTATATCGATACTTTAATTTCGTCCCCGAACATCGCCAAGCTCAATTTTCAATTTGAATTTCAAAAAGCCACCACTAGATTTCATTTAAGGTTCAGTATAATTCAAATTGTTAGCATTCCGATTCGTCCAAAATCTTTGAAATTCGTCTCGTGAAGCAATCGGCGTTGAATTGAAAAAGCAAATTCGTTTTTTTGTCATCGTTTTAATGTTCTTGTCGTTACATTTCGTCTCTGGTGACTTGAAACGTTACGATTAAAAATGTGCCCAATCTTTGGACTTGTTTGCGCATTAATTAAATTTTAATTTTTAACAAATATTTCCTTATAAATGAAAGTATAGCTGTAAGTTTTGAGTTTTCTTTGACAATTAACATTAAAATCAGAAATTGAACTTTCATAATATGCTCTTTGCTTAGCATATGGAAATTAAGCATTAAGATCAAACTCCTTCGTAATGTTGCTCTTTGATATATGTAAATGAATAAAACAACAGAAATAAGGTATGTCTATCAAAGAAAAACATTAAGAAGGTCTTTGAACTTAATGCTTAGTGTCCATGTCATAAGTGCATATTGTAAAATGTCAATTTTCGACCCGAATGTTAATTGTGAAACACAGAAATAAAAATTCATACATTACAGCTAACCACTTTTATTTATACATATAAGGAAATATATGTTTAATTTCATTGTTTTAATTAGCATAATTCTTCAAATAAGTCTAAATATTGGGCGCAGCGTATAAGATTTAAGTCACCAGGGACAAAATGTAATGACAACAACATGAAAACGATTGACAAAAAACGAATTTGCTTTGTTAATTCAACGCCGATGGCTTCACGAGACGAATTTCAAAGATTTTGGACGAATCGGAATGCTAACAATTTGAATTATACTGAACCTTAAATGAAATCTAGTGCTGGCTTTCTGAAATTCAAATTGAGAAGTGAGCTTGGCGATGTTCGGGGACGAAATTAAAGTATCGATATAGGAAATTCGTGTGATACAAGTGTTAAAATAGCCGGGAAAACCTATACAACTGTGCTGCCGGTTCCTGATGTGTTTTTGGCATATTTAGGTCAAGGGTCTCTCAGTGGTCAGCAGCGGCCAGTTTCATTTAAAATGCAGAAAATGCTTCTTTTTCTTTTATCAATCAATTTAAAATGTGTATGAAGTAAATTAGTCAAAAGCATTTTCCTTATTTCCCCATAATCACCAATTTTTAGAACCAGCAGAGTACTGAACTCAAAGAGAGTTACCAAAAAAAGTAAAGATTTCTGAATAACACGATTCGGCGTAGACGAGACGAAATCGAATACTTCGGGTCGAAAACGCGTGCTCATTGTTTGGATTAGTTTGGACTGAATTTCAACTTGTCTGACAAGTGACAACATACGAAATTAAACATTGGAAGTGCACTAAATCGAGTGTCGCTGGACGAATGTCAATATAGGAAACGGTGAATTCGAACGAAAAATACACTTAATTTTATGGTTTGACCAAATAATTATGTTTTTATTATGACACTTGCATATTCATTCCTTATCTCCCGTTGGTCCTGATACCACTATGATTCGCTTTCTATCCTCAGATCACATGACACTGTTTCTGTAGAAGCTCCTTAAACAATCCTGTTTATTTACGCGGTTTAACGTCACACGTGCGAAAATAGTAATAGTTAATCAATAGTTTGTTTTATCTGGAGCGCAGGTTCAGCTTGTTGTTTTAAATAACGACAGTGTTAAAATGTTTAAATGAAAGAGCATTAATAAATACCTTGGAGAGTTGTTGGTTTCTGATTGGTCGAGACTCGATCACGTGGCCGGTCATTAACGGTGATAATGGACCGGCTTCAAAGATCAAGCGAATAAATGGCCCCTGAACCAGCATTGATCCAGCCCCGTTCAGCCCCATGCAAGCCAGTGATTGGTCAAAATATAGTAACAGTCCTGCGGTAGCTTTTAACAATTGAGCACTGCACATGCGCTCAACCCCCATCGCGTGAGATTGACGTGCGCGTACGCAACACAGTTGCTAGGGATGCGTGCGTGTGCGCGCGTATATAAGGAAGTTTTGAAACGACATCGTACAGCAGTGCAGTATATACTGAGGATGTTTACGACGAAAGCGTCGATCTACGATTGATTTTTTTGAAACACTTCACCCACCGACATATTTACCTTTCCTAAACCAAGCATCTTTGTAATTCCGGACACAAGGAATGTGTAAACGAGATTTCAGCTTCCTCCATCACGTAAAGATATGAAAACATTGTTGTAATTTGTTTCGCTACGGCAGCACTTTCTGTTGAGTTTACGTCGTTATAGCTGTTAAGCTAAAATATGGCCCATGAACATGAACACAAAAAAGTCTGGAAATATCGCCGGAAAAAAAGTCACAAAATTGGAGCATTTTAACAGTTTATTTCGTTATAAAGGTATTTATTAATGGGAATAACAGTGTGAGGATCCGGTCTT